ACCAAAATAAAGAAAGCCCATTTTACAGTTTTGTGCTTATCATCAAACAAATAAACTTATTTATTTATGAAAATAAATACAGCATTCACATGTGCATAATAAAATACATGTGAAGTATGAGGCAACAGTAACAGGCCAGTGCATGTCAAAAAATATTCTGAGGCTTATAACTGGTTTGTAAAATGCTTGAAGGACAATTATAAGTAATCAATCACATAACACCACTATTTCACCTGACATCAATACCAAGAGCTATTTAAATTGTTTCAATATTTATACTGTTCCATTCTTTATAAACAGAGCTTCAAAATGATATTTAATTCAGATGGATACCATATGACAAACTATGTGTAGCTCATTTCATAAAAAATTATATAGAGTATATTCAAAGTGTGGGGCTAAAAAACAGTTAGCTTCTATTAAAGTTCCAATGTCCACAAATGCAGAATGTGCTTTGTAATGTAGCATTACTTTCTAGTATTACAAAATTCTAAAGCTTGGGGAACTCTAAGCAAATTAAAAAAAACAACGTAAATCCACATTTCACACACATAAAAAATTGACAGTTATGATTCTTATGTTTTAATTTTTTTCTTAATTAATTGATAAACTTAACTCCAAAAAGTTTGTATCATATATCAAATATATTGTTTTTTGGAGCAAAAGAAGATGAAATATGTTTGAAACAGTTTATATACTTGAATGTGGTACTTGCATTAAAATTCTTAACATGACTGGTACAGGTATTGGAGCCAATAGGGTTAAAAATTATGTTAGCTATAGAGTTTTTTTGGTAATTTTATTAAAAAATTTAAAAAGCTATAATCAACACTTGACTAACTTAAAAAGATACAAGTTTTATGTCACATAATATCACTGTCATGCACACATCTCAACATCATTTGAAAACACCACCCAGACTCTAACCTACATCTAGCTAACAGCTTTTCAAACAAATTATACTTGCTGCATGTAGAGAAACTGTGCTAAGTAATAACTAAACTTACCAACCATACTTTTAATCTATCTATCTATATATGTGCACACACACAAACATATAAAGCAGAGTTGTCCATCTGTCTGTCTGTGACACAAGTTGTTTGAGGAACAGAATGAGCCAATTTCGACAAAATTGGTAGAGAAACTTAGGTGGACCCTAAAAGAACAATCTTAAATGGATTAGCGATCAGTTTGAGTATGGCAGCTACTTCAGTTTTACCATTATAATGTCATGAATGAAAGCTGAACTGAGCAAGGAGGTGAGTAACAAAATATGTGAAGTTGATGACAAATGAAAGTTCTGTTAAACTGGGTATCTTATTATTTTCAAATACAGCTGAAATCAGTCTCTGTTTAGCTCTGTTGTATAACTTGTTTTATTGTATTTCAAAGAACAACTACTAGATGGAGTAGTATGGAGCTTTGGATAAACTTTCTAAAGGCTATGTAGTTTCTGCATACAATATATCCTACTTTTGTACATGATATTTTAATTTCTTTAAGATAATTTTGTAAGAAACAATTAAAAATGCATACCTTTGTTGTAGATTTTAATTAGTGATTGTTATGTTTTCCTACATTCTTCAAAACTTTCCTATAAAGATAACTTTTTTTACTATATCAAAATTATAAACAAGCTTCTTGTTAAATTATTATCAAAAAGTTTCATTTTAATATATGTAACAAGTTTTTACGCATTTTATGTTCATTTATATATATTTCTTTTACATTTCTTTTTTGGAGATTGTCTTTGACCATTCAAGCAGTTATTAGGTTGATAAGGTCTAATATAAACATGATTTAAAGCCTATCTCTTTTGTTCTACAAAGAAATATTTATTTTCCTTCAGTACTACATCATCACCATAATTAAGATGAACTGTAAAATGATGAAGATTTTTGCAAACTTTTAAAAAAACATTCAGGCCTGTACTTGAGGTAAAATTTGTTCACTTTTGTCTAGTTGATACATAAATCTCCGCTGAATTGGAAGCCATGTTGGTTTATATACTTGAAAAGAAGAGAAAAAAAAGCTCTCCCTAAATAATTAGATCACTAACCTATGACTTCTTGAAGCTGATATGTAGGCAATAACATCACACCTAGACAACAGATTTGAGAAACGGTAATTTACTACGTTGATAAAATTAAACTTAAGTTACAAGGTCACAGTTAGCCCTATTTTTTTAAAAACTATAATGAGTTTTTTTTAGGGGTGACAAGTACTGCATTATAGTCATAAAATATTAGAAAATTCACAAAAACTAATGATTTTGTTCAGAGCTAACTGAAATCAACCCATAATCAAAATTTTTGATTTTTTAACTTGTGTGTATAAAATTAAGTAAATGAAACTTTTTATTAAATAAATTTCAACACTAAGGTTGTTTTTCTTAAAGTGTGGAAGACTGATTACAAATTTATTTTCTACAACTTTGAAATTTTGTCCTAAAGATCGGATGCACCCATTTAGGTGGTATAGAGTTAAGCAAGTTCAACTCCAAAACTTCAACAATAAGCATGTGCCAAACTTAGTTACTAACTTGAGGGTAGAGTTATAAGTGAACAGCCGGCACAAACTTGAGATTATATGGAGGGGAAAGAGTGGGCATCTAATAAAATGTGGAACAATGTATGAAATTAGTTCAACATATAGTCCTTTAGATACGTCAAGTTTAGTGATACATATTGTCCTTTAGACATGTCAAGTTTAGATCAACATATTGTCTTTTAGACATGTCAAGTTTAGATCAACATATTGTCTTTTAGACATGTCAAGTTTAGATCAACATATAGTCCTTTAGACATGTCAAGTTTAGTGATACATATTGTCCTTTAGACATGTCAACTTTAGATAACATACTGTCATTTAGATACGTCAAGTTTAGTTCGACATATTGTCCTTTAGACATGTCAAGTTTAGTTCGACATATTGTCCTTTAGACATGTCAAGTTTAGATCAACATATTGTCCTTTAGACATGTCAAGTTTAGATCAACATATTGTCCTTTAGACATGTCAAGTTTAGATCAACATATTGTCCTTTAGACATGTCAAGTTTAGATCAA